CCACCGCCAGTCACGCCATGGAGATGGACGTATGACGCCTCTCATAATACAAGCCCGCTTGTCTCCAGCAGTTCAATTACCCGGAAGCAGTGCGCAACGAGTCAATCAGGTGGTTCAACACGCCTCCGATAAGGGGCGGTTGTGCTCATCAACAGGAGGTTTACCGTATCCTCCGGGATGATACCCCCACATTGCGCCGGGAGGAGGCGGCGCATTTAGTCCTGGAATTTTGAGTGCAGGGTATGACGGGGGAGGTCCAAATCGTTGCTGGTTTATAAGCCACGGAGGAGGAGCGCCAGGGGGGATGTTGAGGGCTTCTTTCAGCTCATCGCTCAGTTCGCCGGGTCGGAGATGCCGTAGGTTAGTTTCATACTCTTTGCCCTCGTAGTAGACCTCGCCGTAGCGAGTCAGTTCGGGTTTAGTTTGAAATCTGAAAAAAGCCTCATAGAGCTTCTGGTAGTCAATATCCAATTTCCCCATCTTAGGCTGTACACGCTCGCGCTGTTTTTGTTTGAGGGTTGCTTGATCCTGCTTCTCCAAAGCTGCATCTCGCATCTCAGCGATGCCGGTTTCCTGTATGAACTTCGGCAAAGTAAATGGTGGTTTCTCAACTCCTCTCTTTGACGACAAATACTCCCGTTTTAGCGACCAATGGGTAGGTACAGGAACGACGTTTCGATATGCCTTAATATGAACGAGGAGACGTGGGTCTGATGCTGACGTATCGGTCCATTCTACCGTTTCTGGTTTCCGAACCAACGCCTTCAACTCTGCCACGGACAGTTTGTTCATTTCCTTTCGCTTTTTCTTCGATATTTTTGGGCCAGAAGCTTCCTCTTCCTCGTCAGGAATATCATCGTCGTCATCGAAGTAGACCTCGGGTTTGTCAATTTCTTTGGATGCGGACTCTTCATTTTCGCGTTTCTCGAACTTGCTGATTACATCTCTGTACATTTCAAATAAGGGGGAACGTCGACTCTTACCAACCCAGATGTTTTCTATGAAGAGGAAGAAGATGCTTTCCTTGCCGAATCAGACGTCCCAGCATCCCGGGAATCGTCGCCTGTTACGCCAAATGAAGACACGGATCGCTCCTCTGGAACCAATTCGTCCGCAACCGTGATGGGTGTATCTCCAAATAATGATAACAGAAGCTTGGCGACACCTGGTCTTGGAATTGAATCTGTGGATGCTAAAGATCTCCCAACCCCGGTTGCTGACACAGCCTGCGAAAGCACCTCCAGTCACCCAAGAACATCTCAATTTGCAGATTCTCCAATTACTCCAAGCTCGGTTGCGATTGGGGCCTGTAGTCATTCACCGAACTATCAACGTTCTGATGATATCGAGATCATTGAAGTCGAGGGTTGGCCGATACCAAATGAAAAACCTACAATATTTCCAGAGAAACGCCCATCCACTTCACCCGACTACATATACTCAATGACACCTAGAACCCCAATCCCGGACGTTCCCGTCCCCGTCCCCGTCCCCAGCTTCCCATCTCCAAATCATTCCAATATCTCATTCGAGGTCCCGCGCTTAACAACAGCTTCTTCAACGATGACAGATCGAGACCGCCACACATTCCATTCCGGGTACAGCATGGATCACGGTGCATCCGATTATAACTATCGCCATGACTCCACCGAAGATGTCCCCTCCCTAACCAGCAGCACTTCCACCACAACAGGAACCATGTCCAGGTTTTCCTCGAGTTTCTACAACAGAGGTCCCGGTGATCGTGCCTCGTCTTTCTCTGCGGCGACACCTCGACGCACCAGCCGCTCGAATGCACCCAAACGGTCCAGCCTGGTTAGCCTTTCGAAGTTAGTTACGGGGAGCACCGGTGAGAAATCGAAACTTAGTTATGAGGAGAAAGCACCGCGTGACGACGTTGAGAAAAGTAAGAAGAAGGAACATCGGATTAGTCGGTTGATGCACTTTTGGAAAGCAAAGGAGAAGCAAAGGGAAACCGATTGATTCTACCACCGTTACCAATCCCTGCGCATTCACCCATTCACTTGTGTTCAAAGCCTTTACCATGAGCACCACTAGAGGAATGAAGAACTTAAATCCTGGCAGTTGAAGAGCGATCCATTTGATTTACGCATGGGAAAGCCCTACATAGTATTTGTCACTATCCCTTTTCTCATCTGCTTTCCTTTCTATCCTGACTTCATTTCGACTTCAGCCTTTTTACTGATTTTCTCTTTCTATTATCCCCTCTTAAATTTCATCTTAATTTCCATTTTACATTCCTCTTACTGCAGTTTGTCTTTCGATTCCCCTTGCATCATGTCTCTTTTTGCTTGACATTTCTGTTTCGTTCTTTTTCTGTTTCGGCTGGCGGCGCAAACATCAGGCAACAACGATATCATGGATGGGATCTCTTGACTTTATGGAGGCTTTCTTTGCTTTTCTTTATTTTATTTCAATGTCTTAAAGATCCTTCCCTTTTGTCAACTTCAATACTTTTTCATTTTCTCACAGGAGAAAAACAGTTCATCTGCAATCGACAAACTCATCACTCTTTCTTTTGTTACGTTCCAGACATTCATTTGTTCGGCTGTATAGGTCTGCTTCTGCCGGCTTAATTCCTTTTTCCCTTTACCGCTCTACGTTCGCTCATCGCAACTACGAAGAAAGAAGAAAGAAAAAAACATACTAGAACAATAAAATAAAGTAGCTAGAGAGAAAGAAAAATAATAATGTTTCTTTTGACATCTTAGTCCTTTTTATCTCTCTATTATTTACTTCTGGTAATTAAATGGCCATGGATTCCATGATCTTACCTTGACGACACACAGAGTTATGTATACTATATATTATATAGAGAGAGAGAAGAGTGTTGTGGAAATGTGTAAAGCTTGATTGAT